CTTCTTTTTTTATAAAAATTGTTCATTAAAGTGATAATTTTTTCTACTATTGGGTCTAGAATTTGTTCCAAATGGCCGAAAAAAAAATTGAAAAAAAATTTACCATACCGAATACCATTCATTTGACTTTGTTTTGCATAAAAATTGTCAATAAAAGTGAGTACATTTTTTTACCATTGTATTTAGAATTTTTCCCAATTGCAAAAATAAAAAAAATTGGAAAATGAAAACCTACCTAAAAAGTGGGAAAACAATTTCATGGGAAATTTGTACTATCAAACAAGCCAAAAATTAGAAAATGAAAAAAAAATTCCTACTTCCATGAAAAATGAGGGTTATCAAACGGACCCCCATGAGAGAGATTGAAAATTAGAGATATGCTACAATTATCGGGGGGTTGACAACGGTGAGAGGGGTTGTCAAATATTCGACGAGGGTAATATTTGAAAATGATAAACCAGAGGATATAATTACTGATTATATATATTCAGTAATTTTAATGAACTGAAAGTTAGTGAAATATAACAAGATTAATAAATTACCTTGATTGATCAAGACTGAGTCGAATCAAAATTAATTTATAGGAATTCAGCTTAATTATCTCCTACCAGGAATTGTCAAGAGTTTCAAAATAATAACTTGAATATGTTATAAGAGTTATAATTTATCAAGGACGTCTATGCGAGTATTAGATTCAATTGTACAAAGACGTGCAAACCTAGCAAACACGTGCACTAGACACGTGGAAGGGGTGTGTGCCACGTGTGTGGCATACACTAGGGAAGCTGGGTGTCCCTTATGTACGGGAAGTAAATAATTCGAATAAAAGAAAAAGAAAAAGTTCTTTTTTCACATTCAATATATACATATGTGTGCGCGCGCACTTATGTTCAAGGTCCAATAGAGAGTTTTATCATCGTGAGTCTGCAAATAAAAATCTTTAAATTGTCTAATTCTTGAAGAACACGAGAAAAGGCTCGCGTGTTTTAATGTGAAATCAAGAGTAATTAAAAGGAAGAACACAAATGGGTTTTTTTAAAGAATACTATAAGAATAATTTGTAAAACACCGGGTTCCATTTTAAACAAAAGTCATTATAATCTAGTTGAATAGACAAAAATAATCAAATTAGGTTTTATATTAATATTCTTTCAATAATAACGAACTGACTTTAGACTGTCACTATGGGGCATTAACCAGGGAAGTTTTTTAGCCTGGTTTTCGTCCCCGTTCTTCTGTTCTGCATAGGCTATTTCGATCTCCTTTGCTTGCGCAACCTTGAACTTTCATTAATATGAAATTAAGTCCGTGTTTTCTACGAAGCTATTAAAGGGGACCTTGTCGACCATATATAATTTAAGATCCAATAATTAAAGCATTGTCATGATGATTCAAGAGCATACAATGTAATTATTAATTTTCGCTCCCTCCACCGAAGACAATAAACCACGTTCTCATAATAAAATCACAAGATAAATATTATCCCATTCCCTTCATAGACATCCAATAATTACATCATGTTTGATCCACATTCTTTCAAATTCATTTTCAACCACACATTCTTCAATAAAATAATTAATACACGCAAATTCAAAACTTTTCATTATTTTTTAACCACACATTTTTCCTCAAATCACTATTTAAAATACATTCTACACTTAATAATGTACATCGAACAAGGTGATTATGGCTAAAATGACCATTTGATCTTTTTAATTATTTATTCACTTAATTTTGCTTTTACTTTAGCAAATTCTTTGTGATAAAATCATAGAAATTAGGATTCACCCCATTCTCATCTTGACTCAACATGATGAAACTATTTCTAAGCTTGAGATTGCCAAGGACCTTAAGGAGCACCCCATCAAACATGTCATCCCCAAGAAGTACCTCGACGATAAGACAATCTTCCACCTCAACCCAAATGGTAGGTTCGTCACTGGCGAGCCACATGGTGATGCTAGTCTCAAGGGTAGTAAGATCGTTACTGACACCTATGGTTGGTGGGATGCCCATGGTTAACCTTTTCTAGAAATGACCCAACTAAGGTCGACAGAAGTGGGGCATACATTGTTAAGCAAGCTATCAAGAGCATTGTTTTCTACAATCATGCTTGTTATACAATCATGAATAACAATCTTGTTGACAACATACAACATGGCAAACTTTCGTTGGATAGTTTGAAAAACAACTTGTTTTTGTTGTCGAAAATACGACTATCTCAATCAAAAGAATAAATAAATTGAACAGAAAATGAAATGCAGTAGATGAAGCAAGGTATGCCAAAGTAATCTCCTTAAGACAAATTTCGCCCCTCAATAAAATGCAAACGGGATTATGGATGTCTGTCTTCCAAGATACAACGCTCCTTCCAAAGTTGATACTGCACAATACCAAATTTGTCAGTCGAACCAAAGAATGATCGTACT